GTAAAAAAGCTCAATTATGAACGTTTGCGAAAAGCGCCGCTTTTACGCTTTCCTCCACAACTTGTTTTTGTAAATTTTTTCGTACGCTTTTTCTTCACAGCAGCATGTTTTGTGGGTGCTTCAAGCAATGCAATGTCGTTGAAGCCGGCTCTAGCTGATAGAGGTGAGTGGTTGTGGCACGGTGGGGCGAGTTGGTTGAATTGCTGGCTGACTGGTTGGCTTCTGGGGGCTTTTTGCTTGCCCTGGCCTGACTAACTACTAGCTGGCTGATTTACTTTGGCGCGTGTGCGGCTGCCTGGAGTTCAATTTTTAACGTTGAAGTGGTCGGTCAAAACGGTACGATCGCGTCTGCGCATTCGCATACTCGTATACAGTACATATAACAAGTAAAATAACAAACATTCACGGATACAAACGACGAACACATCCATACTTCGTAAAGCTGTAACGCAACGTAAGCAGGTAGTTTTGCTTGTGCGATAAAGTAGTATTTCTTAGTTATTTCTTTTGTCTGATTGTGTTCTGCGCGTAAAATAGTGAAATGGCCACAAAAATAATATGGAATGATAAATACAAAAAAACTTCTTTAGCAAAAATATGTATACAAACGCTATGTGGTACTATATGTAAACTTTTGAAAATAAATACTAAGTATGTACCTAATTTGAAAAAAAAAAATTAAAATTACAACCGCTAATGACTAGCAGCAGTTTCTTCTGTATATCGCCGCTAGCGCCATGTACTCCGCTATGTTTGTAACGCCACTTTTGCCTTTACATACCTATGTACATATGTATGTATATATGTACATACATATATGCATGTATCCACCTACTTAAGTATCCACGTTTATACAAACATATATGTACATACATACATACATACGACCGTGCGCCATCACTTTAAGTCGTTATAAAGATTGAAAAAGTTGAATTTATTATGCAAATTCAGTTCAGAGAATCGGAAAGTCGGTACCGGAATGTCAAATCGGATATGTACATATTTATAAAAATTGTTTTATTCGTCGTTTTAATTAAAAAAACTAAGCAACCGGTGATAGTAAGAGCAACAAAAGAAAAAAAAAACATGGGATGTGTGTACAATAATATGTATGTATGTATGTATGTATGTATGTATGTATGTATGTATGTATGTACATATGCGTACATACGTTTTTCGTGCTTTTGTTCGAAGAAAGTTCGATAATGCGTTTTTTGTTGTACCGAATGACCAGAGGTGCTGGTAATATATGTACATATGTATGTACCTATATACTTATCTGCATATGCATGAATGGGTGTCCACTTATGTATGTACGTGCGTGTTGCGTTTGTAAACAGGTGGACGTGATGTCAACAGAGGAGCACCAAATTCAAACAGCCGTTAAGCTTGTAATTTTTTGATTTTGTTTGTATGTTTTAAAAAGTACGTTAATAGCTACAGAATCTCGCTTTCATTGGGCCATTTCCATATACGAAAATATGTTTAAGTGTTTCGGCATAAGATATCGCTGCAAAAAACTAATTCGAAAGCATTTTAAATAGTATGTGGCAAAACATTTTTTTTTTATAAAATATCAAGAGTCTATAATTTGCCAACTCTTAGCAAAAGTTCAATGATTTTTACCGTGCTTTAATTTGCCGACATTAGAGTGGTACATTAACTTTGAAAAAAACAAAATTGCGTCGAGAAAAAAAAGTCGATATATCATACTCTAAGATCCGAATATAAATGCCGAAGATATGACGAAAAATGTAAAAAGGCCTCCCCTACGTTGGGCCAAAAAAATACATAATTTTTTTTCACGAAATTACTGTCCAATATCACTTAAGACTCAGGGGTGTACGCCGAATTTTTTTCTGGTACGGTGTAATGTACTTACATACACATTTGAAAAGTGATGGGCGTCTTGAGTGAAGTAAAGTCTATGAATGCCGTGATCGAAGCTCAAACACACCCTGCGTCAGACCCGGAGCAGTTACGGTCTGGATAATGTAGGCTTCTCAAGAGCTACCTGTCCAGACTCGACCCCAATATCCTCAATGAGTGTCCGACATGTGGATACTTGCCGTACGCCACCAACCAATTCTACATATATGTGAGCTCAACCCCACTCAACTAACACCCTTCTCTCTTTGGTCCGATCCTGTTCAAACTGCCTGCTTCTTGGGGAGGGGGGCTTTATAGTGACGCTACAATCGATCTAATGATTCTAAGGCTGCTATCGCTATTAGTATCCTGTTCATTTGCTTCATCGCTGCGGAGTCATGCTGCACAATTTGGAACTGAGCTACAAAAATGATTTAGTTTAAAGTCACACCCATCGTGGCAACGGGATGCCTTAAAATGCTTCCGAAACCCTATCCGAACAACGAGGTTCCGTAGGCATCTCCACTAGGTCTTGCCCCATAAATTCCGTTGTAGGAGTGCAATCACTCCCAGTAACAGGTCAAATCACTACATATTCACAAGAGTTATTCGGTCGATAATTGTAAAAAGAAGTCATTGTGAAGTTACGCAATTAGTTGAGGTCCATTCCAGTGAGTTTCCAAAGTGTTTTAATGAAGAAAAATCCGACATTACTATAGCCCGCAGGACAAAGTTATCTTCGTGTTTGTAACTTAAAAAAAAAAAGAATCGAAATTTACAAGTCCGAAATGGAGAAGGCTAAGTCATTAGTGACGAGCCTTCAGTGTAGGCGTAGAGGGGTGCCATTCTCCTAATTCAGATGTGCGAGTAGTCGCTTAAGATCATCCATTTTCAATGCAATCCCAGGAGAAACCAATCCATACGATACTGGAAATAGCGGTACCGGCTTGTGTGACCTTTTGCTTGAGCGACGTTTTATTCGGTCAATGAACTCTTAAAAGACCCTCAAGCCAGCGTGATCGGAGCGCAATACACCAGGCCACTTGTAAAATACTATGCAGGTGGCTACTCGTTGGCTGAATCACTGATCAGGAAGACGTCTATATATTAAGCTGGCAAAAGCAATTCCCCTAAGGATTCAGAGCTATCAGTCTCTCTACCTTACTATTTAAAGCTCTGGAGAGTCATATTAGAAACGAGATTCCTGGTGATCGACTGCAACGATAAGATATCCATCCTACGCGGCTCTTCCCTCAGTTGGAGGTGTTCGATTTCTTATCGAATTGAGTACTTGGGCTTGACTCTAAATAGGAAGCCTAATATTGGGGAATTAGTAAAAAAAGGCATATCAGTTCCCCTCTACCGCGATCGATAAGGGATGGGCCCTCCCTCCTAAGGTAAATTCTTTGCTCTATGAAAACAAAATGCATTCCTTTCATTTCGGTTGGAGTCCTCGTCCGATGGAATGCACCACAGGAGACTATCCTAGTCGGGAATCCCAAAAAAGTATAATCGACCACCGTCTTTAGAAACTTTGGCTCCTAACATCATACTTAACATAGCTTCACTGATACAGGCTACACTCTAAAATTCATTGCGATACGGGAAATTGGGAACTGGGCTCGCTCAAGCTGCGCTTAAAGCTAGTTGTTGCATGCCTCACCTCTCTTTCGGTAGCATCTGACTTATGGGTGGAATTATAGGAAACCTTACGGTGGTTGAGCTGACCTCACCGAGAAAAAAAGAGGGGAAGTTCCTTTACCTACATTTGGACTACTCTGTGACAGTTGGGACCTCAAGTCCGCTCTTCAAACGTTGGTCGAATGCCATGAAATGGGCTACTGCAAGGTCTTTCTAAACGACAGTGTATCGAAGCCGGTCAAAGGATCTTTTCAGGCTCTAACAGCCGCAATTCTAAATCTAGTAAGACTAAATAACATACCATATTCTCACTAGTTGCAGTTACTTGGACGATGAAGAGGTGAACTCATCTCAACTCATTCTCATAAACTCAACAGATTTTGCAAGGCAGTCCGTGGGAATCCGCCGGTAACAATATCTGTCATTGGTAAACCTGCGTTCTTGGCAATTACCGTTGGTAGTGGTGCCGGAAAGGGCGATTGCTTAAGGCCCAAGAGTGCATCTAATTTGATGTAACCACCTTAATTTAATCTAACCTTCTAGCCTTAAACACTTAGCCTCATAAATGCGAGGAATAGATGATGCTTGTTAAGATTTTGAATTGTTTTTTTAGTTAGTTCGTTTTTTTTTTTAGAAAACAAGTGATATGCACTGTGTATGCAGATTACGTTTCGTTTCGAATTAATTGCCTTCATACTATTAGTCACCTTTATATTTGTTGGGAACACAAGTTAAACAAATGTAAAAATCTTAGCTGGGACTCAACGCCAATTGGTATTCAAATCAAATTAGTTCCAATCAAATTAGTGGACACAAATATGTATGTACATTAGGGCGGGTCAATTTGTAGGGGAGATTTTTGTATAGTACTGAATGATTCTACGTGTAATTCTAAGCAAATTTGCCGATGAAACTATGAGTCTAAAATCAATTTGGAGTTTGCCAAATTGCGATTAGCATTTTGTTATAGTGTCGTAAAGAAATGCTTAAATTTTGCATAAAAACATGCTATAAGGCGTTTTTTGTTATAAGGTAACCATTTCTGCGCTTATCTTTTTCTTAAACTGCCACTAGAAGGTGAAACAGTGAACATTTTCTTCGAAGCTAATTTTCACAGTTTGGCAAACTCCAAAGTGATTTTAGACCCATGGTTTCTTCGCAAAATTTGCTTGGAATTACACGTAGAATCCTTCTATGCTATACGCGAATAGTAAAAGAAATTGACACTCCCTAATGCACATACATATGTAAATATGTATACGTACTTTATCAACAGCAGATGTGTTCATAAGTAATTGATACACATATTTATGTGTATATATAAAACATTCATACATATGTTTGTATGTATGCATATGGCTATGCATGAATGTGAATATTTAATTTAAATCAAATAACTCTGACCTTTCACTTTAAAGCTATGTGGGCATAGTGAAAAAGTACTCAATTACTTATTTTTATGGCATTTCGTGCAAAGTGTATTCTTATTCAATTAAAAAAGATATTACATAATCTCTCTTAACTACTTCTAAAACTTCAATTTATTGCATTCTGTTTATTTTTAAACTTTGCACCTTTTGTTATATGTATTACTAAGTACATATTACACTTGCACTTGACTTGCTGTTTTTCTGTAGTTCAAGTGTGTTTTTGTTTCCATACATACATATATGGGTACATACATATTGGCTTCAATATTATTTATCTGCATGTGAAGTTCAAGTACTCGCTTATTTTTTATGGCTTAATTTAATTATTTTTGTGTGATTTTCTTCTTTATTATTTTTATTATTGCTGTTTTTGTGTCAGGCCGTTGTTTTTCGTTAGCATTTATCATTTGTACTTGTAACTACATTCAAGTACTCGTACGTCGTTGTACATACATATGTATGTATATATATATAATGTCGTAAAAGTGTTTGTTTTTGCCTGTACACATGACCGATTACCTA